TTTTTTTTAAATTTGGTATAAACTATACACGGTATTTTCTTGTTTACATGAATATAAACTTCATTTGTCCTGATGGGTAAAAATAATAATAAATAATAAGAATTCACAATATATTTTTTTAGCATTTTAGAATGTCACCTCCACTGGCCATAAAGATTCMTGAAAAGGCYCCGAAAAGGCCCACGGACCACYAGTTGATAACCRCAGTTGTAGCTTGTTTTGCRGCTCTGGACATATTTTATTAGTGAGTCGGGTAGCAGGAATGGCACTTTTGATTGCAAAGGTTGCAGACCCCTGAGCTGGGGGGTCCAGGAATGATGCAGGGAAAACCATCTGGAAATTAATTTGTTATCTCGAGAAAACCATGGAGGAAAATATTATATGCTGAAAACGGCCGCTCTCGGCTTCCGTAGTAAATCGTTTACCAAAAGTGAATGATCCAATAAATAAATAGACAATGAGTCAGATTAATCAGTAAATAATAAAAATGAGTGGTGTGAAGAAAACAGTGTCACTTTTAAAGACACTGTCGCGGCTCTCCCTCGGCCTGGACGGACCACGTCAGACGTGTTGCATAAACAAATCATCCTGTTGTAAACACCAACGCTGGAACTTACGACCAGCAAGTTAGTGTGCCTTGTAGCCCCGCCTCCTCCACCATACCATTGGCTACGCGCATCACGCTCGGTCATCACAGCGGAACGTGATTGGCTGAGTCTGCTTTCACTCGAAATCCGTCAGAAAGCTCCAAGTTAGCCTACAAAGCTAGGTAAAGTTAACATAAAAGGACGAGGTGACTGACTGTGTGACAACAGATAGGATTTCAGGACGCAGGTACTATTTTTTATAGCTGTTAGCCTGTTCTAATCACAGCCCAAGTGTTTCTGTTTACCAGACAGCGTCACTAACTCATTTACCCACCTGAGTTATGGGTTCCTGTGGACGACCTGACCCGCTCCGCTAGGACAGCTGAAAACAGGGATTCACTTCAAATGTAAGCCGCTGTCATCTCCAGACTCCAGTCCTGGCCAGCTGCTGTGATTCAGAACAGATCCGTCCGCCACGGAGCTCATTACTGACACAATTATCCTGTGCTTCCAACCTCCTCCTGCCTGTCATGTTAGCCCCGCCCCTTACACTTGTCAGCCCCGCCCCCTACACTTTTTTTATTGAACCAATTCAAACATTTACAAAATAAAAAAATAAAACAATGACATTCTCATATGCAAAAATCAACCACATGTGCATTTAGAGCACAACTCCTACTATATTATATAACAAGAAC